GTCCAAGATATAGGAGATCCAACACAAGAGAGACACTTGGATGGCTCAGTGGTTGAGCATCTGCCTTTGGCTCAGGGCGTGATCCCAGAATCCTGGGATGGAGTCCCACATCGAGATCCACATGGGGAGCCTGCTTCTCCCTCTGCCTATGTCTCTGCCTCTCTCTGTGTCTCTCATGAATAATTTTTTAAAAAGAGAGAGAGACATGAAAGGAAATCCTCAGACTGATGGTGAAGGAAAAATCCTAGGATAATGGCTAGGCAGTACATTCCACTGCTATCATACAGCATGAAAATTATTTCCCCTCTCCTTGTATGTGTGCTGGCCTTGACTAATAGAATGTCATGGGAGTGATGCTGTTTCAGTTCCAGACCTGCCCTCTGGAGGCATGGAAGCTCCTGTCTCACTCTTTTGGAGCCCTGAGCCAAGAAGTTTGACTACATTGCTGGAGGGCAAAGTCCAGCCATAATTTGATGTTCTCCATCTGTTGAATTAGAGACAGCATCTGTGTAAGAAAGCTTCCCCAAGTTAGTCTTCCAAAACCTATGGCTTAAAAATCAAACGTGACCTTACAAAGACCACCAAGTGTACAAAAAGGCAAATCCATTATGAGTGATAATCAGAAGAATCAATTTATTTAGAGAACACTCCTGCCAAACCCTCCATAAACACCCTCTAAGTACTATCTGGAATTGTCAAATACAAAGACAGAATGGTTGTGTGTAGAATGTTTACAGAAATAAAGAATGCAGGTATAAGGGAAAACATGCAACAGGAAATCATCAGGACTATACAATTTGGGGAGAAAATAGAACTCATAGAAATGCAAAGCATGGGGTGCCTGGCTGGCTCAGTCAGAAGAGCTTACAACTCTTGACCTTGGGGTTATGAGTTTGAACCCCATGTTAGGTGTAGAGATTACTTAAAAATAATAAAAAATTAAGAATTAAAAAATGCAAAGCATAACATTAAAAAAACTTAACGGAGATGTACAAAAGAACTATGAAAAGTACCTTATAAACTGTGAAAATAAATTTCAATGAGTGGGCTAATTAGCACATTAGATATTGTTGAAAGTAGAATTGAACTAAAAGAGATCTTGAGAATTTATACATGCAGCATAGGAAGATGAGGAGGAAAAACATAATAGAGAGTTGTGAGTCATGAATAATAATAGAATGAGAATGTCTAGCATCCATCTGAATGGAGTTCCAAAGGGTGAAATTGGAGGGAATACAAAGAAGTAAGGTTTAAAGAGATAATGATTGGGAAATTTAAGAATTAGTGAAAACCATGAATATACGGATTCAGGAAGTAAAACGTATCCCAAATATGATCAAGAAAAATAAAGGCATACCTTGTCACATCATAGCAAATCTGTTGCACATCATATATAACTAGAAGATCTGGAAAGCAGAAAGAAAAAGATAATCTACAAAAGAATGATAATTAGGGTAGCAGCAGATTTCACAACAGAAGACAGTGGAATAGCTTCTGTAAAATAAGAAAAAATTATTATCCATTTAAAATTGTTTACTCAGCAAAATACCACCCAATAAAGATGGGGAAATAATAATCTTTGTAACAAACACGTTTATGCGGAATTTACAAAGAAACCGCCCAATAGGAAGTTATAAAGGATTTAGTTTAAAAAGTAGGAAAGTGATTCCAGGAAAAAAGAGGCAGAAATGCAAAAAGGAATAGTGAACAAATAGAATGGTGACATAAAGTTAAACCCAAGCAACTACTATCTCAACCAAGTGATACAGGAGTATAATCTGTGGGGATTAAAAAAGAACTGAAGGGGTGCCTGGCAGGCTCAGTCAATTGAGTATGCAACTGTTGACCTTAGGGTTGTGAGTTTGAGTCCCACACTGGGGTAAAGAATTTATATATATAAAGAGCTTACATATATATAATGAATAAATAAATAAAATATTTTCAAAAAAAGATATATTTTGGTATTTTCAGTACCTTTTCAGTAAGTGGTACATTTAATAGTGAACAGAAAATAGTAGTGAATCTTTATGAGTCAAATAACAAAGCATCAAAACATATGCCCCCACACTTCTGGGAAAAGTAAAGTGTATAAAATACAACTCCCTTCACTTATATCTAGTGAAGTGAACAAAAACCATTTAAAAACAGTGGAGGATGGGTGCCTTGCTGGTTCATTCGGAAAAGCATGCAGCTCTTGATCTCAGGTTCATGAGTTTGAGCCCCACGTTGGGTGTTAGGTGTAGAGATTATGGGGAAAAAAAAAAAAAGCCCTAAAAAAATAAAAATAAAAACAGTGGCCAAAAAGGGAGATAGGTATAATTTATTTTTTTATTAGAAAAGATTTTATTTATTTATCCACGAGAGATACAGAGAGAGAGGCAGAGACACAGGCAGAGGGAGAAGCAGGCTTCAGGCAGGGAGCCCGACGTGGGACTCAATCTGAGGTCTCCAGGATCAGATCCTGGGCTGAAGGCGGCGCTAAACCGCTGAGCCGCCCGGGCTGCCCCTAGGTCTGATTTAATACCAATACTTAAGCACTCCAGAGAGTGACAGCTAAAGAGCCGGGCCAGCGGAGGAGCAATCTGCATGCAGAGCATGGTATGACAGAACTCCTAATGTCATTTACAAAAGTATGAGCTCCTATATCTAAGGAGGATGGAACCAAATATGTCTTCTTATGTTTTCCTTGTTCTGACCAGAAAGTGATGAAAAATGGCCTATAGATAGAGACCAGGAGAGAAGGGGATGTGAAGTGTGAGACATGAAGTTTTGCAACCTACAACAGAAGGGAACACCTCATGGCCCATGATGACACCCCCTGCATTAGAATGGGGTATGCTGGGCACCTGGGTGGCTTAGTGGGTGAGTGTCTGCCTTTGGCTCCTGGGGTCCTGGAATCCAGTCCTGCATTGGGCTCCCAGCAGGGGCTTCTCCCTCTGCCTGTGTCTCTGCCTCTCTTTCTCTCATGAATAAATAAATAAAAATATTAAAAAAAAAAACTCACTTTTGGGCAGCCCGGGTGGCTCAGCGGTTTAGCATCTGCCTTTGGCCCAGGGCGTGATCCTGGAGTCCTGGGATCAAGTCCCACATCGGGCTCCCTGCATGGAGCCTGCTTCTCCATCCGCCTGTGTCTCTGCCTCTCTCTCTCTCTCTTATGAATAAGTAAATAAAATATTAAAAAAAAAAAGGAATTGGGTATGCCCCACACTAGGGTGTAATCCCAAACAGAGTAATCCCAACTTCTGAACCTTTCCCATAAACTCCTTTCTTACCCTTAGGGAGCTCTTTCAGAAACTAGCTTTTAATTGTGAAAAACAAAAAACAAAAACAAAACTTTACCTCGAGTTCTGCGATCCCTTGGCTTGCTTGAGAGTTTTTCAGTTTTTGACAGTTTGCTTGATGAAGTTATTTTTGTATTATTAAATTCTGTAAACTAAAATTCAATAGACTAGTTTTCATTAAGAAAAAGTATTTTCAGGGGAGCCTGGCCAGCTCATTCAGTGGAGCATGCAACTCTTGATTTCAGGGTTATAAGTTTGGGCCCCATGTTGGGTGTAGAGATGACTTACAAATAATTTAAAAAAAAAAGCATTTCCCATATAATTCCAATGTTATAAAAAATATATTTCTGTCTATCTAACCCATTCAACATTTAATGATAATTTTTGATGGGTGGTAAGATTTGGGAGAATTTATTGCTGTCTTTTTACTTTTCTGCATTGCTTACACTCTTTAAAAGAAGCCAGTGTCATTTTACAAACACAATTCAGTATGTGTATAAAGAGAAAGAGAAAAACAGAACTAGAGAATTATGACAATAGTCATTTACAGACAGTGCTTACTGTTTTTCTGGCCCTGTTCTAAACTCTTTACAGGTGCTAGTTTGAATCTTATGAAATTGCCAATGTTCACTAGTTTTTTTAAAAAAAAGAGATTTTATTCATTTATTTATGAGAGACATACAGAGAGAGGCAGAGACATAGGCAGAGGGAGATGTTCTCTACCGGGAGCCTGATGTGGGACTCATCCCAGGACCCCGGGGGGATCATGCCCTGAGCCAAGGGCAGATGTTCAACCACTGAGCCACTCAGGTGCCCCGTTTGGCTGTTCTTGACCTATGAAACCAACCATCATTTCATATTATCCAATTTACATTTACTCCTTTAACCTTTGAACAATCCTGAGATGAATATAAAGAGCCACAGTAGCTAGAAATGCAAAGCGAAGTCAAAGCTGTTCTTCCCCGCAGAGCCCGCAACCTCCTCCCAGCCCGGTTCCTTGGTCTTGCCCTCCTACCCTCCTCCACAGGTCAGGGTGCCACACAGACGAAGGGGCCATTCTCTGTCCCAAGATGTCTTACAAAGTAGAATTGACGTGGCCTTTCACTCCATTTATCCCCTAAACGAGGCCAATCTGGATTCCTAGGAGGCTCAGGTTCTTGGGGCCTTCAGCTGCTGCTGGAGAGCCATGGTGCACTTTGCACTTCCCAGTGGAGTCCCCCATCCATGTCCCCTTCCAGGGCACTGAAGCAGACACATTCTACAGTTTCATGTTTATTTTCAGAAAGTGATGAAGACAAAAGAAATATATCCAGACACCACTCTCTGTACAATAAATAGCCTCCCTGTTCCAAAAAAAATAAAAAAGGAAAAGGAAAAAAAGCGCGCACACATACACACAACCAACCCCCCACAAGACATTGCTTCTTGAGGTGTGCACCATCCCCCCCTTCCTAACCCCTTCCTCGAGACTCCCTGTCTCTGAGCAGGTGGGGCCCAGGCCAGCTGCCCCAAAGTCCTCGGAGTCCTGTTGCCGACCCTGGCTGGCTGGCTGGCTGGCTGGTGTAAAATCCACGGTATTTTTATTTTCACACACACACAAACAGAATTGCCCAAAGTTCATTCTACAAAGGAAGACAGCCAAGTCTCCAGTTCCCAGCCTGCCCCACCTGGCCCCCACCCCACCCCACGGACGAGGGGAAGCTCCTTTGTGTCCAAGACCTTCTTGTTCTGTTTTCTGTTCTCCAGCTGGGAACCCACAGCCAGAAGCAGCACCAGGTAAATGACTGTAGTTAGGGCAGAGGAAGGGGCAGGGGACACGCCTCTCAGGTTTCGCAGTGGGCCCGAAGCAGCGAGGGAACCCCAGAAGCCTTCTCAGCCCCCCTCTTCCTCAACCAACTACAAAAGGAGAAGGGACGAAGGGAGCTGGGGCCTCCCAGCCCGGAGTCAGCTGTCTGCATTAGCTGGTGTCCTCCAGCCCGATGACACGGTTTCTGTCATGTCATCGGCTCAATTGGGAAAATAGCTATAAAACTGGCCTTCAGTTTCCTTATCAAAAGGAGAAGGGGCCCCAGCAGGGGAGGAGCTGTCGCCACTGGAAGGATAGGGGGAGACGCGCCTCCTCTTAGAGTCTCCTTCACCCAGTCCCGAGTCACTGGACTCTGGCCGGATGGGGGTGATCTCAGTCCACACCGAAGGGGAGCCCTGGTCCTCTGGCCCCCGTCCCTCTGAAGCTCCAGGACCAGGTTCCATGGGGAGAGTCCGCATGGTGCGGAACCAGCCGCTTGGGCCCATCTTGGGAGGGTACTGGGGGGCCATTGGCCAGCCAGCTCCAGGCGCCAGGACGTCCTGGCCTCGGTAGTAGGACATGGTGGGTCCAGGGGCGGAGGGCAGGAAGGCAGGCTTCATGCTCACTGCCCGAAACTCAGCCTCGTAGCTGTGGTCCCGGGGGCCCCCTAACCAATAGGGCTGGGAAGCCACGTCCTTGGCCTGCCCTGGAAGGTCTGGGTAGAAGCGGCTAGGAACAGGATACTGGTTGGGTAGGAGAGGAGAGTAGTGGTCTCCCGCAAGCAATTGACAGTTGGGTCCAGGCGGGGAGGGCACGCTGGTGTCAACAGATGCATACATGCTAAAAAATAAAAAGAAGAAGAAAAAGAAGGCAAAACAAACAGTGGTCACGAAGAGAACCAGTCACCTGTGAGCCTGCCTATTATTGCATGTCCCTCCCTGGACCCTCTGTGCCTGGCCCGCCGGCCCTCCAGCATCCATCCCACCTCCTCCCACCCCCTAGGGGCAAAGACGAGACATGCTCCCGTGTTTGGAGTCAAACCTCCATAGGCCCTTGGTGAGCTAGAACGAGTGGCACTTACGACTCAAAGTTCTCCCGGAATCCTTTGGCAAAAGGGTTATTATCAATTTTCAGCTGAGTGATCTAGAGAGAGGGGAAACAGAGGCACCTGAGTCCTGAGTCTGGGGCTAGGCAACTTCCAAATTCCCCACCAGGGAAGACTGCGGGCCCCACTGTCCCGTTCCTGCCCCTCGCAGCTCAGGCCCGCCAGCTGCCCTTACCTCCGCATTCTGGTAGGCGGTCACGGCAATGAACTGGGTCTCTTGGAAGGTGAAGATGTGTGTGTTGGAAGCGTTGCAGGCCGCCTCCGGCTCCCCGTCGTTCACCTCAACGATGTGCAGCCGAGGCTGGTACTTATGGAGAGACTGGAGGACGATCATCTAAGAGAGAGCCGCATGCTTGTAGCCCTCTGGCCAGGCTAGAGGGGACCCTGAGGTCATCGCATCCATTCCCCTGCCCTGCTACGGGGTAACTTCCCCCAGGCCCTCCAGCTCTGGTCCCCAGCCTCTCCAGGGCACCAGTTCTGCCCTCTTTGCCTGTTTCCCACCCCGGGATGTCTACTGTGACCAAGGTATTAGCACAAGCAGGGCTTTTCAGGGGTGGGGCTCTGTTAACAGTATTGCTCAACTAGGAAAGACTTGGTATCCATTCTCTGGGCAGGGAGGGCCCACTGGCACCAACTCTATGCCCAGCATGGTGCACTGCACCAGTGACAGTGGCCTGGGGCTCAGTGAAGAAACCCCCAGGGCTGGCTTGGCCCATGCCATCCTGAATGCAACCCCGTGAGAGTCCACTCCCTCCCACCTCATCTCCACAACACGCCCCCCCCCTCCAAGGTGGGTGGAAAAAGAACCAAGGTCAGAGAAGAAGAAAAGTGACTTTTACAGAACAGAATCAGTCAGGGGAGGTGGAGGGTGCAAGGAGTCCCACCTGGGTCACATTATTAGAGGCCCCTTTGTTGTTGGTGAGCTTCAGTTTCCCGAACGAGACTTCCTGGCGCATCCAGTGCGCTCCAGTGTTCGGGGAATCTGGGTGGACGTACAGGCGGTTTCCTGTGGACAGTGAACCTCTTTGGCACGCAGCCCCTGGGGACCAGGCCCCTGGTGATGGGCGGCTTCTTCGCCCACTCTAGGGTGGCAGGGGGAGGACTGGATAGGGCAGAGAACTGAGTAGAAGACAGGTTAAAGCAGACTAGAGTAGACAGGACAAACAGAATGGGAGTGAGAAGCGGGAGGGGATAAGGGTGAGACCAGGAATTAAATCTTAGGTCTGGTGGGGCAGGGGCTTGGGGGTTCCTCCTGGATCCACCAGGGGGCGCCCAGTCTCGGAGAGAAAGAGTGCCCACCGCTCCCCAGGGCACTCCTACCTGGCATGCTGCCCTCAGCCTTTCCACACTGCACCCACTTGCCGCTCTGATACCGCCAGTGGTGCTGGTCCACCAAGACCACATCCACGAACATCCGGTAATGGCTGGTGGGCTCCAGCCCCGCCACAGTAAATGACAAGAACGGGAACATCCTCCTGAAAAGAGAGAGACCCCCCCAGCATCTGTCAGCCCCCTGACCTCACAGCCAGCTGACCCTGCGCAAAGGCTTTTGGTGGTGTCCTAGAGGCACTTCCATCTGGTGAAAGAACCTACTGGAAATGATCATGGAGTGTGCCAACCAGTTCTTAAACACCACCATATTTTAAAAATTAAATTAGGGCAGCCCCGGTGGCGCAGCGGTTTGGGCTGCCTTCAGCCCAGGGTCTGATCCTGGAGACCCAGGATCGAGTCTCACGTCCAGGCTCCCTGCATGGAGCCTGCTTCTCCCTCTGCCTGTGTCTCTGCCCCACTGTGTGTGTGTGTATGTGTGCGTGTCTCTCATGAATAAATAAATAAAATCGTTTAAAAAAATAAAAATTTAATTATATAAACTTACAATTAAGTATATTACATTATAAGCCAAGGTACTAAATCATCAAAAATCATCACTTCTCAGTTCATTTGCTACAGTTCACTATCATCTCTGCTCTTTTTTTTTTAAGATTTTATTTATCCATTCATGAGAGATACAGAAAGGCAGAGACACAGGCAGAGGGAGAAGCAGGCTCCCTGTGGAGAGCCCAATGTGGGACTCGATCTCAGAACCCTGGGATCACACCCTGACCCAAAGGTAGACTCTCAACCACTGAGCCACCCAGGCGTCCCTCATCTCTGCTCTAGAGGTGACTTACACCTCTTGTTCCTGTATGACAGAAATACCAGACAGCCACTGCCTGGCTCTTCCCGACTCTGCATTCGGTGATACCACGTGCGAAGCTCGAAATCAGCCATCACGGGAGTATTTACACCACGGAAATCAGCAAATGCTGTGAATCAGGGTGTTTCTCTTTTAAATGTTTCTCTTTTTTCTTTTCTTTCCTTTTTTTTTTTGGTGGGGTGAGCTAACATGAGGGATAGTTTTACCTCACCAAGGAAATTGGCAGTTCTTTTTCTTTTCTTTTCTTTTTAAGATTTTATTTATTCGGGCAGCCAGGGTGGCTCAGCAGTTTAGCACCGCCTTCGGCCCAGGGCATGACCCTGGGGTCCGGGGATCGAGTCTGATGTCGGGCTCCCTGCATGGAGCCTGCTTCTCCCTCTGCCTGTGTCTCTGCTTCTCTCCCTGTGTGTGTCTCTCATGAATAAATAAATAAAATCTTAAAAAAAAGATTTTATTTATTCAAAAGAGACACAGAGAAAGAGGCAGAGACACAGACAGAAAGAGAAGCAGACTCCCTGTTGGGAGCCCAATGCGGGGGGGGGGGGGGGGCTCGATCCTAGGACCCTAGGATCATGACCCAAGCCAAAGGCAGATGCCTAACTGACTGAGCCACCTAGGCAACCCTCAATGTTTTTCTCTCACAGGGTCAGTTGCTAGATATTAGCTGCATGCCACTGTTGCTAACCTTAGTCTGCTTCCTGGTGAGGAGCAAAGCCACAAGCCAGCCCCCTCAGGCACTTCCCTGTAGGCCCTCATGCCTCAGTCCTCCAAGCTCTGGTGTGGTCTTGGTCCCCGACCCATCTTTCCACAGCGGCTGGCCATCACCGTGCTAACACTTCCAGCCCTGTGGCACCCACGCTTTCCCTGCCCCATCCTCCCGGGCCTGGTGTCTGTAGTATGGCCTGCCCCAGGCCTGAGCCTTCAGAGAAGTACCCAAAATCCTAGATGGAACTTCCCATCCACCTGAAAGAGTTCTGTTAAGCACAATCCTCACACTCAAAGTCCTGCTTCCCAGGAAAAGTGGAGGAAGTTGAGGTTGGGATGCTGCCCTAACCTCCATTGTGCCAGTGTAATAGATTCTGAGAAGGAAGCACTTCCATACCACAACCATCTCTGTCACTTCCACCATCTTCACCCCCACCTGCACCATCACTACAATCCCACCTTCACCAACACCCCCCATCACCACTATCACTACAACCAACATCACCATCCCCACCTTCACCATCACTACAACCACCACCTCCACCAACACCCCTCATCACCACTGTCACTACAACCACCATCACCACCCCCATCACCACTGTTACTACAACCACCATCACCACCCCCACCTGCACCATCACTACAACCACCACCTCCATGGATACCCTCCATCACCACTATCACTACAACCATCACCTCCACCACCACCCCCATCACCACTATCACTACACCTATCACCACCATCAACACCCTCCATCACCATCACTACAACCACCACCTCTACCATCACTGCCCCCGTCACCAAACCATCACTTCCATTATCACCATCACTACAATTATCCTTTCCACCACCAGTACCAACACCAATACTATCGCTAATTCTAATGGGATAGCTTTTCTTTTCAAACCCAAAGAGGAAGAACAGAATTTTCAGGATGGCAGAAACAAATCCTCATCAGAACTACTTTTCATTCCCACACACCTCTCCCCTCCTCCTACGAGAAGTCATGGGAAGAAAGACACCAGTCCACTGGAGGAGGGAGAGTTCCAGAGGCCTAGGAATACTTTGGGGTGCACCCTAGTCCTCAGAAGCTCCCCGAGCAACACCATTAATAACCTTGGGAAGGTCTCCCCACAGTCCTGTCTTCTCCAGACTCTCCTATGCTGAGAAAAAAAAAAGAGAGAGAGACTTACTAGCCCCATCCCCTGGAGTAAGTTAATTCCCAAACCAAACCTGCTTCTTCACCCAAAAATGGAGACAAGAACTCATCCATTTTTCCTCTGAGAACTGTGAAGCAGTTTGAAAGATGTGAAACTCAGCTCATCCGGTCCCTCCTCCACCCAACCCTCTTGCAGGCCCAGAGCTATCAAGGCCCTCTCACCTGGCGGAAGGACCCCGAGCAAAAGTCCAGGCTCTAGCTCCAGGCTCTGGGTTTCAGGGGCTCAGTGGGCCAGTTGGCTTGAGAAATCAAAGGTCAGGGATGGGACCTGGAGCAATTAAGGCTGCTGGGACAGTATTTTCAACACATCTCTACTACCAACTCATTCTATGACAGTGGTCAGGTTGCTCGGGTTTTTTGTATTATAACCAGTTCCTATCCAAACTTGTATGAATAAAGGAAGAAAAGGAGGGATCCCTGGGTGGCGCAGAGGTTTGGCGCCTGCCTTTGGTCCAGGGCGTGATCCTGGAGACCCGGGATCGAATCCCACGTCGGGCTCCCGGTGCATGGAGCCTGCTTCTCCCTCTGCCTGTGTCTCTGCCTCTCTCTCTCTCTCTCTGTGTGTGACTATCATAAATAAATAAAAAAATTAAAAAAAAAGGAAGAAAAGGATATATTCATTGTGCCTCTCCTTAGCAGCAGCCAGTTCACCTGAGATGTAAAATGTTATTTCCAATTTTATACTCAAAGAAACCAAAGATCGGAGAGCCGAGGTGACGCTCCTTGGTGGGAAACAGAGTGTGTGTCTCCTGACATCGGCAACCATGCTGTGGTGTTCATCTCTCTACCCTGCTTATCTCTGGTGAAGGGAAGTGAAGGAGACACTTCACTGTGAAGGAAGAGGATGGAGGAAAGAAAGAGGAGAAGGAAGGTCTCGTTTCACCCTAAAAGTCTAGAATCACTGCCAGCTGGAATCCCAAAATAGCCCCTGCTTTACATGACACTTTGCTGGGAAGGAACAGGGTCTGGTGCCAAACTAAGCTCTCCAGAAAGACCACTTATCATTCTGCCCTGAGAGGACAGAGCCCAGGACTCTAAATTCCTCCACTGCTGCTCAGGACTATCCCATCTTGAAATGAGATAGTCCCATCTTGAAATGACTCGCAGGGTCATCATACTACACCCCCGCCCTATCCTGAACACCTCTGATACTCTCCAATTCACCATCATCACGTACAAATCACAAGGAGGCAGTTTTTTCTAAGTCATGTTGGCAAGATGTTTTAAAACTGATTATCTAATGCCAATGAGTCTGTGGGGAAATGGGTGCTCTCACACACTCTTCCTGGGGGTGTAAATTAGCAGCATCTTTCAGAAGGATACTCCGGCAGTGCCTTGGACCTATCGAACTGTAAACTGCTCAGGCATCAAAGGATCTCCTCCTTCCATCAACCTCAGACCCAACTTAGTAGAAATCGGACAGCCACTAGCAAACAGCCAACAGAAAGTAAAGCTGTATTCATCTGCCCCAAGAGAAATGAAGCCAGTTAGTCCAAATTAAAGCAGGCTTAAAGCTTCAATAAACAAACAGACAAACAAATTGTTTTAAAGATCTAAAAAGTTCTCAAGGTCAGGAATGTAGGCAAGGGGAGGCCACCATGGCTATGAGGCCAGTGATCAATGATGGAGGACAGGGTGGCACTGTATAGTTTTCTCGACCGCTAAATTCACACACGCACACATAAATGCAAATTGAGATTCTTAACAACAGAGCTACCCAAAGTTATCTTAATTATAACAATCAACTAATCACACCCAGAAAAGTGGGGATTGCCAGCAACGAATGCACACCCACACACCCACACACACAGACGCCTGCCTCTCTCTTCCTCTACTGAGAACGTCTACCATCAACTCTTCGATGCACGCTGACACATTCACAGCACACACACACACACCCAGCACCACACCAAAACACAGCACAAGTCTGGGGTAGACACCCTAAATCTCCACAAACACGCAGAGTGGAACTCCAACATTTCCAACTGGCCAGTCCAACACTGAGTCTCACTTTCTCCTCCCCACCTCAGAGACTGGGTCAGGCTCTGGTGCTGGGAAGTGCCAACCCCCAATGCCCAATCCCGTTGCTGCCCATGGAGGACAGACTATGTCACTTGTCCATACTGAAGGAGGGGTCTTGGGTGGGTGGGAGAGGAAGGATTTGGGAGGGAGTGAGTCAGCCCAAGGCAAAAAGGCCGTGGGGCTGTGGGTGGGCCTGGGCTAGGAGGATTTTTCAGAAAGGAAGAAGGCCGTGGGTGATGTGGTAGTGACTGGCAGGTCACTGGAACCCACAGAGGGACAGTCAGCCCTCCAAATGGGAGAGAAAGGGTGCTGTTCTCTGAGTCCTTGATCTTCAGAAGCCAGTAGCAGAAGGAAATGGCCGCCGAGTTCCCAGATCTCTGGAGCCCAGGTTTAGGTACCTGGGTGATGTGGGCTGGTGGGGCTGAACTGGGGCCTCTGTGTTCTCTGTCCCCTCCACCCCACCACAGGGCCTCTGAGGTCTGATTTGAGGGGAGGGACCAAAGAAAATGGTGAGGGGCCACTGCCCTCTTCCAACGGGGACCCCATGGTTTCGGAAGCCATCCCTCAGATAGATGGAAAGCATAAGGATTGTGAAACACACATACACACACACACACAATTATGAAATGATCAGGGAAATTTGATATTTATGAAATTCTTCGCAGTATTGCTAACAATATTGTGTTTACTTTTAAAAAGCCATTTTTAGGGGACCTGGGTGACTCAGTTGGGTGTCCAACTCTTGATTTCGGTTCAGGTCTTGATCTCAGGGTCATAAGATGGAGCTCCATGTCGGGCCCCATGCTGGGTGTGAAGCCTGCTTAGGATTCTCTCTCTCCCTCACCCCCCAATAAATAAATAAATAAATAAATAAATAAATAAATAAATAAATAAAATTAATAGAATTGTAAAAAACTATGTTTAGATCTACATAGAGAAATTTTAAGAATGAAGGAATAGGGGATCCCTGGGTGGCTCAGCGGTTTAGCACCTGCCTTCTGCCCAGGGTGTGGTCCTGGGGTCCTGGGATCAAGTCCCTCATCAGGCTCCCTGCATGGAGCCTGCTTCTCCCTCCGCCTGTGTCTCTGCCTCTCTCTCTGTGTCTCTCATGAATAAATGAATAAAATCTAAAAAAAAAAAGAATGAAGGAATATAATGCCTAGGATCTACTTACTAAATACTTAACACCATCACAATGCAATTGCAGACTAGGCGGTGGGAGGCAGAAGCAAGGATGAAGAAACAAGATTGGCCCAGTGGTAACAACTGTTGAAGCTGGGTGATGGGTACATGGGGGCCTGTGAGGTTTTTCTCTGTACTTTTGTACATATTGGAATTTTTCATAATAAAAGAAAATAGGTGTATGGATCTAAAAGGGAGACAACAAAACTTGTCAAGAGAGAATTATTCAGCAAGAACATAAAGGAAAGAAGGAAGCCACAGGGGTAGTGGCGGTGACCTTGCAGAGACACATCCCCGTGAGACATCCCCTAACCAGGCTGCGGGCAGCCCACAGCCGGCCCCACACCCACCGGATCCCTGAAGTTCTGGCCAGTGGTCTGCCCAGCCCACCCCTCAAGACTTGAAGGGCAGGGCCCTGGCAGCAGGTTGTAGGGAGACCTCGGCCAGGCTCCAGGGTGGGAGGGCTTCCTGAGTACCCAAGAGTAGAGGCCTGAGTTCAGGTCTGCTGTGTGACTGAGGACAAGCCACCAGCTGTCCCCATGTCTCAGTGTCCCTAGCTGTGAATGGGGAGACCTCTCTAGGTACGGAGCACACGGTGAAAGAATGGAAATGAAAGCACTCTGAATGCATCAAAGCCGTTGGACAGCAGAGGCGGCTGTTTTTACTCCTGGCCTCAAGAGGCTGGGTTCGGGTGTCCGTTCTGCCAGCGACAGGTGTGCTGTGTAACCTCGGAAGAGTCTCTTCCTGTCTCTGAGCCCATTTCCCTGTCTGTGAAGGAAGGGGACTGGAGAGGATCTCTTGGGTCCCCTCCAATTCAGACTTGAGAGGACTAAGAAGCCTGGGCTGTGCCTGGGAGCACTCAGAGGGGGCTAGGGCTGGGGGGACGCAGAGAGGAATTATCAGAAGGCTGAGGGCATAAAGGCCACACCAGAAAAGAAAAGGCCAACTTTCCTGGGTTCATCCCAGAGAAAGAGGAACAGCTCAGCGCCTTGGAGCTATTTGTGGTTGGTGGACCCATCCCTCCATCCCAGGCCACCCCACAGAAATCCCTGGAAAGGAAGAACGTCCCAGCAATGCCTAGATGGAATGCCAATCCCCTGGGCCTGCATGGCTTCCCCACCCTTTTCCTAAGCCCCACACTGGGTATCTGCCCTTCAACTCCTCCTGGCCGCACTGATGACACAGGTCCTCCACGCAGAGGTCCTCCCTGGTCCTCTGCCTGAGCAGGCCCTTACTGGGAGGGATGGGTGCAGGCTTTCACATGCCAGACCCAGGCAGGGCCCACTCGGCATTGCTTACTAAACAAATACCGCACCGGTGGCAAGTTTCTCTTTCTTTCCCCGGAAGCAGTACCCTTGGCCCCAAACCCTACCCCTCTTGCACTGGGCTCAGGGGACCCTGAGCCATGGACCCATGGGTTCCCAATGCTGGATCCTACCCTGGAAAGTATCTGGCCAGGGGTGAGGCAAGACTTTTAGGGGACAGACCTGGGAGGGAGCAGAGTGAGACTGGCTGCCAGCTGGGGCGGGTGGGTTAGCTTCACCTGCTCAGGCCCTTGGGTATGTGTGCTCTCCGTTGGGGCCTGTGCCTAGAAGGGATCTGTGCCCCCCACACACTTTACCATCCCCCCCAAACACACTCACACCAGACATATGAGCTCTCAAAGTACTACCGGAAAGGAAACTTGGCAACTGCTCCTCCATGTCACCAAATCCTAGTGCTTACCCACCTCCCAAAACTGACCTGTGCCCAACAGCAGCAAAAAGCCTGGGAGAGGTGTGCTGTGGGAGGGTGGGAGTAAGAGAGGTGGGGGTAGAGTGGGGATAAGAGAGGTGGGGGGGTAAGAAAGGTGGGGGTGGGGGTATGAGAGGTGGGGGGATGGCGCTGGGTTACTGGCCACAGCACAGGACCCTGCCCTCTCCTCCATCTCCCCACACATAGGGGCAAAGAGGGGTCCTGCCCCATCAAATCCAAAACGCAGCCCCCCTCTGCTCACGGGGACCCCCCCATCGAGGTAGAAAGTGGGGCAAGGGCACACCCCAATTCTGGGTGAAACCAGAGGTACCTTCTCCCTCAAGCAGGTAACTTCGCATTGCACCCACTCTCTCCATCTCCCTCCTGAGTTCTGCCTGTTGGTGTAACTTTCTGGGAGAAAACAGCCCCCAGAACTTTCGTGTCCGCGCTACAACTCCCTCCCCGCTTCCCCCAAAGCCTAAGCCCCACTGTGAGCCGCAAGGAGACACTAGCAAAGTCTAGACAGGAGAGAGGGAGAGGAGAGGGGAGAGGAGAGGGAGAGAGGGAGAGGGAGAGGGAGAGAGGGAGAGGGAGAGGGAGAGGGAGAGGGAGGAGGGAGAGAGGGAGGAGGGAGAGGGAGAGGGAGAGGGAGGAGGGAGAGAGGGAGAGGGAGAGGGAGAGGGAGAGGGAGAGGGAGAGGGACGACCCCCGCCCCCGTCCGGCGGGCGCGCGGGTCCGAGGCTCCCAGGCGCCGGCGCCGGCGGCCGCGCGTCTCACTCACCGCCCCTGCTTGGTGATGATCATCTCCGTCTGGTGCTGATTGAACTTGGACCACAACAGGTGGTTGTTGAGCGCGACTCTCAGCTTCCCCGACACCTCCAGCCCCGCCGGCAGCGCGTAGTCCTCGCGCGGCCCCGGGTAGAGCCCGGAGCGCGGGTCGGGGGCCGCGTAGCCGTCCCCGGGCTGGTAGCCCTCGGCGCTCGCCGCCGGCGGGAAGGGCTCGCCCACCCCGGGGAAGCCGGCCGCCTGGGGCCGGGGCGGGTAGGCGTAGGCTCCGAGGAAGCGGCCCGGCGGGGCGGGCACCAGGGCGCCCCCGGCGTAGGGCGCCCCCAGGCTGGCGCCCCCGCGACGGTCGGCCGCGTCCTGGGCGCCGGGCTCCGGGTAGAAGTAGCGGTTCTGCGGGTCGGCGCCGGGCGCCCGGCCCTCGTCGCTCGCCGGCATCGGCTCGGTGCCCGTCAGCATGTCTCCGCAGCCCCGCGCCACGATGCCCATCCGGGGCGGGCTGGCACCTTCCCGCAGCCGTCGGGGACCGGCCGCTCTCCGCGCGGGGGCGGGCGCGGGGGCGCGGGGGGCGGGGCCCGGGCGCGGGGGCGGGGGCGGGGCAGAGGCCCCCAGCGGAGCCCGGCCTCGGACGCCTGGGTCCTGCGCCCGCGTCTGGCGGGCGCGCGGCAGCTCCCGGGCTCCCTCTCCAGCGGGCCGCTGTCACTAGCGTCGCGGCGCCTTTGCTGTGGCTTTATGAAGCTCCCTGGGCTCCCCCCACCCCACCACCTCGGCGCAGCCCCGCCTCACCCCGCCCCCTCGTGGCTAATAGTCGGCAAATTCTATGCAGTAGCGGAGGCCTGGAGGCCCCCACGGTGTGGCGAGTCCGCGCAGCTCGCCCTTAAAGACCGCCTTCTGGAAGAGTCCACCCGTCCACCTGATACGCCAGCCCGTTCCTCTCCTCTGGACCCTCGTGGACATTCCACCCATCCTTCAAGGCTCAGCTCAAAGGTCCCCTCCTACAGGAAGCCTTCGGTGATGGCGATGGCCCGGATGGGACTCACAGGGCGTCTGGCAGCGCTGGCAGGCAGCTCAGAGCAACCAGCAGGGTCTGCGCTCAAGTCCCAGCCGCTTAGGCCCCGAACGTTCAACGGATCTCCTGAAGCGCTCCGTGCCCCCAGGCCCTGTGCTAAGTGGCTCCCCCCGCAGTGATCGTGTTCTTCCTCCAGCCCAGAGACCCAGGTGGGCTCTGTCCTATGCAGCTTGTTCCTCCAGCCCCCAGGCGGCCCTGGAAGCTGGCCCGCAGCAGGCACAGATCCTTGAAGGCGACTGCATGGCTGCAACCGCAGGTTTGCAGGGCCCTGGGCCTGGGAGGGCAGCAAAAGCACCAAGAGTGCAGTGACCTGCCCCTGCTCAGAGCCTTGGCCCTGGCTCTGCCTGTCACTCAGGTATGTGTGACCTGGGCAAGTCACTTCCCCTGCCTGAAAGGCAGCCTCACCTACCTCATCTGTAGAATGGGGGAAACACACTGATCTACTTTTCCGAGGGGCTGTGAGCCTTACCTGAGAGGCTGGGCCTGGGCAGCGCCTCGAGCCATCTGGAAAGCTACTTGGATCAGTTTCAGAGCTGGCTCACAGGAAGGACACCCACTTGTCCTGAGTGATAGGACCACCAGACCAGAGCTTTTCTTGCTCTTCCTTTTCTGTTGACTAACACAGAGTCTTTTTATGAAGAAAACAATCCCCCCTCCAGTTGAAAATAGCATCTTTGAGAGTTTTCCTGCATATAAGATAAAACATACTCATAGCAAATTTAAGCAGTAAAAGTAAAAATAGGACTGTATAAACCACCCCGAATCCCCCCCGCAAGAGGCAAACAGAATTACGATTTTGGTGAACACCCCTCCAGACATCACTCCCTGCACACAGCCCTTCTGTCTTTTGTGTACGTGCACACACACATACACACACACAATTTTATATAAATACCACATGTGCTGCTTTGTAATGTGTATTTTTTTTTCACTCAACAAGGTGTCATGGAATTTTTTACATATAGATAAAGATTTACATTTTTAAGAGTGTTTTGAAAAATACTTTCACATTTTCATCATGTTAAAGGTTAACCTCTCCTTTCCCCACTCCCTCCCAGACCTCCTGGCTTCTCCCCTGGGGGCTGCCCCATCTCTACATCTCTGTCCCAGCCCAACAGGGCTTCACCCGTAGGGGTCCACGGGGACTCTCTGCTCCCAACTAGAGCTGAACCAAGAGGCAGGCTGGCAGGTGAAGGCAAAGCTGGAGATCCCAGGAGGCGGGCATGACCCAGGGAGGGTGGGGGAAGAGAGAAGCAGCCCATCCTCTAAGGATGGAGACGAGGTACACGAGGTACACGACAGCGCGAACACCAGGGACTGGCACCTCCTACCCCTTTACCCACCATTTCCCCCATGCCTTAGGGAGGCAGGAAGTTTCTGCCTGCTGTTCCAAGTGAGGCAGCATTGCCTGAAAGAGATGGCGACCTTGGGACCGTTGGCTACTTTTTGAGAAACATGAGAGATTTCAGTATGACTTCCCTGAATGACTAATTTCCCCAGGAGACTTGAATGCTGACATCTCTTTGGGGGGACATTTTTGCTAAGTACTTGGCTATGGAAGGCCAAAAAGAGTCTTGTTCCTCCCTCTCTCCCCCTCCTCTTTTCCACATTAATCCTCAGATCAAGAGATCTATCTATCCCCCTGCCCCGGAACAGGATGCCCCAAGCTCCCACGCAGGTATCTAGGGCAGGGGGGATTACGAATCTCAGGATCAGATGGGCCTGGGAACACGTCCCTGGAGGAAGACAGTGGTTAGGGGCAGTCTCTCTTTAACCTGATGGGCTGTTACGGGATCGTCAATCCCAGATTCCTCACCCCCTTACTCCAATTTCTTCCACCCAAAAAAGAAAGTGCTTGTGAAAAGCGGGGGCTGAGTGGCCCTAGTCACCACTGCCAGTCCCGCCCCTCTGCCAGCTTGGGTGAGAAGAAGAACCCTGGCAGTGACACCTCCTCCTCCTGTTGCCACCTCATCCTCTTCCCAGGCCCCAGGGCTGGAGAGGTGGGAAAGGAGGAGCAGGAGGCCAGGCCCCCTGGGATCCCTTCACTTCCCCATCACTGTCCCTCCCGGCCCCTCTCCCATCCCATCCACCTGGTGAGCTTCCAGAAGGCTGGTCCACCAGGATAAGCAACACAAGGTGTGTGTCCAGGATTTGAGAGTCATGGTCTCCAATAAATATCACACGTTATGACACAAGCTGGATAGTGAATATGGGAAACTGAACGACCAACCAATTCATGGCCACCATTCATGGCCAAGCCCAGCAGGGCTGGAACCCTGGCCTCTTGACTCTTGATCTAAGTGTTCTTCCCACAAGAATGTCTGCCTTCCATTTTGAGTCAGAGTAATAATAATTAATGAAAAGTCATGCTATCCCGTTGCAAATGGTTTGGAAAACAGAAAAGAAAATTGTCCCTAACCACCAGCTTGGACGCTAGTTTTCTTCACCCTGTTGTCCTATGTATGTTTTCAAGGTTCCTTTTCAAGCTGATTTAAGACTCAAAATGAGAGGCACCTGAGTGGCTCAGTGGTTCAGCGTCTGCCTTTGGCTCAGGGCATGATCCTGGGGTCTTGGGGATGAGTCCTGCATTGGTCTCCCCACAGGGAGCCTGCTTTTCCCTCTGCCTATGTCTCTGCCTCTCTCTGTGTGTCTCTCATGAATAAATAAATAAAATCTTAAAAAAAAAAGAGGGGGGTTGCCTGGGTGGCTCAGCGGTTGAGTGTCTGCCTTTGGCTTGGGACGTGATCCTGGAGTTCTGGGATCAAGTCCCGCATCAGACTCCCTGAATGGAGCCTGCTTCTCCTTCTGCCTATGTCTCTGCCTCTCTCTGTGTCTCTTATGAATAAATAAATAAAAATCTTTAAAATAAATAAATAAGGGATCCCTGGGTGGCACAGAGGTTTGGCGCCTGCCTTTGGCCCGGGGTGCGATCCTGGAGACCCGGGATCGAGTCCCATGTCGGGCTTCCTGCATGGAGCCTGCTTCTCCCTCTGCCTGTGTCTCTGCCTCTCTCTCTCTCTCTCTCTCTCTCTCTCTCTCTCTCACTCTGTAACTATCATGAATAAATAAAAAAAATCTTTAAAAAATGCCTATAAAAATAAATAATAAATAATAAATAAATAAATAAATAAATAAATAAATAAATAAAAAATAATAGAATCTTAAAAAAAAAGACTCAAAATGAGTGAGGCCCCCTTGATGTCACACAGCACCTGCCACAGCTGTAGGTCACAGACTGTGCCAGAAGGCTCTTGCAATGTGGATTCCTGCAACCTGCCTTGAGGGATTTGGATTCCTAGGTCTATGGCTGGTCCCTAGAATCTGTGTGTTCAAGAAAGACTCCAGGTGACATGGGCTCCAGGGAGTACACACATCCCACTCTTGGCTCCCCTCCCATTTCACTCCTCCACCCCCGAGCCCTGGGCCATAGAGGGACCTTCAGTGTCCCTGACCTTGCTTGCTGTGTGCCTCAGTGCAGTGGATGGACAGGTTTCAAGGCTTGAGGACGGCTGCCACCCGCATGGGGAAGATTTTCTTATCGAAGCTTCAGGACCAGATAATTCCTTCCTTCCCCCAGAATCAAACAGCTACCCGGGTCTGGGTCTTCTTAAAATGTATGAAGTGTCGGGGCACCTGGGTGGCTCAGTGGATTAAACATCTGTCTTCAGCTCAGGTCGTGATCCTAAGGTCCTGGGATCAGTCTCCCTGCTCAGCGGAGAGTCAGCTTCTCCCTCTGCCCCTGCTTCCCCTGCCGTGCTCTCTCTTGCTACCTCTCTCTCTCTCAAATAAATTTTTATATATGGAGTGTTGAACTCCCTCAGGATCCAGAAGGCTCCTGAATGGGCTCACTCACACTGCACAGTGCTGAGCAGCCAGCTGGGGGCCGGGGGAACCAAAGCTGGGGGCTGTGGAGACTCAGAGGCCCCAGGACCCAGGCTGTTTCCCCTCCACCCTGGTGGGCCCAGCCTGAGAGGGTAGCTGGGCAAGAGAGAGGGACAGCACGTTGGGGATGAGGCAAGAAGGGAAAGAGAGCCAGTGTGAGGCCTGGGCCCTACTGAAGGAGGCATTTAGAGGTGGAGGGGGGCGGGGGGGCGAGGGCCTTAGTGAGGAAGTCTCAGGTGGGGCAGGAGGGGGTGCAAGATAGAAGAGAGGGAGCCTGAGTGAGAGGGAGGCCTACTGAGGCAAGGCTGCCTGTGAGTGTTGAGGGTAGGGCACAGGGAAAGGAGGGCGGGCTTGGAACCCCAATTCCAACCTTCACCGGCTGTGTGGCCTATTCCAGCAGCTTAACCTCTCTGGTTTCCTTGCCAGCAAGAAAAGCCAATAGACCTGCCGCAAGGACAAACTGGGTGAACTGGATCTCAGGGAGCTGTGAGGTCGTAAAGGTGAGGGGTTTGGCCCCAAGACAGGCCTGAATCAGAGG